CCCTTCTATGGTGATTATATCATAAATTGCAAAACCAAGTTTCAGTAGACCCAGGAAAGTAACATTAAACACACAAAATGTGCCACATAGGAGAGTGACTTCAGCACCAGCTTGATAAGTGGCAACTGGCTGCCCATCTTAGTGTCCAAGGCACAACAGGGCAGTGGTTCTCAAAGTGTATTCCCTGGACCAGTAGCATCACGTGCAAACCCAGAAAGGCACATTTAGTGGTTCAGAATGGATAGAGTATGAAATCTTTGAACATCATAGAGAATGATGTTCAAAGACCTCTATGAACACTTTACAAACTACCTCACTAACTATAATAAATAACCCTGTGAAATAATTTGGGCTTAAAAGTAAAACATAAATTATAGAGTGAAAGGTGAGGGACAAAAAGCCTTTTACCTTTCATTTTCCTAAAGAATTATATAAAAGTTTTCTCATAATAATTCTGCCCTGATTACTGAAGCAGCAAGTAAAGCTAGAGTAAATATTTTGTTCTAAAAAGGTGCTCAAGCCCTGATATTTTTGGTTTTGATAGCCATGAAGTATTTATCATTTACCCGAGTAATGGTACAGGAAAAAGAAACCCATTCAAAAGTTTTATAATCAAATGTAGAAAGGTTTTCACCTCACTTCAGAGTTAAAAATGCAAAAGTGATGATCTTAAGCCCACTCTCTAGAGAACAATTGGGCCTTGAGAACTGCAATATCACTGAGTCTGATACACTTAGCACCCAAATTTTCTTGGTTCCATACTCTTGTGCAAGTAACTTCTGGTCTTACATGTGTAACTAAAAAAAGAGTGTGTCTCTGTGTGCATGTGTTTCTTGTGCCTAAAACTTTGGCATAAGTCAGAGATAACTGCCTATACTGAGAATCTATTCTATAAGATATACAGTGTATCAAAAACATTTTTCTTCAAACTTATTTAAGCATCTTTTCTACATCATAAAAATCATTGGTAGCCCCCCCCACACCAGATGTTTAGTAACTGGCATCAGGCTTCAAGGATAAAAAATGGGTTGATAGTGTTATTCATAGATGAAAAACATAAAAAAAACTGTTAGTAAAACCAGACTATGTTTATGAAAAAAAAAATCTTTAAATTGTAAATATTATCTACTAAAGTAAAAATATTTGTTAGTAAGCTAGTTGAGTTGTAAAGCCTTGTCCAAGGATTTGGTACCTTTTAGTCAAGTCTGATGTCTCCCTGCTACACCCTCAGAAGGGAGTTGTTAGGTACTCAGCTTTGGCCCTCCCAGACATGTGAAGGAAGACACAGCTCAGGACATCTGGGACTTTGGTACTGTCCCTCAGCATACCTGTCTAAGAAGCTAGACCCAGTGACAGCAGGTTGGCCTCCCTGCCTACAGTCCATGACTACCACCACCATCCTGGTAAAAGAGGTTGACAAGCTGAACTTGGGACAGACTTTAAAGGTATATGCCCCTCATGAAGTTAAGACCCTATGTAAAGGTCCCAATGGCAAATGGCTATCGAGAGCCTGACTGGCCTAATACCAGGGACTGGCGAGTCTTGAGGACTCCAGGTTAATGACACCAACCACCCAGGCTCTCATTCTGGCCTCACTGTTGCCTACACCCATGGAGCCACCCAAACATGACTGCATTGAATCAGTCGAGATGGTCTACTCAGCATGACGGGACCTCCAACATTAGCCCTCCAGGACCCTGATTTGACCCTAATTTCAGATGACGACACTATGGTACTAGATGGGGTTTGGAGAGTTGGAGCTGTTGTTGTCACAAGAGATCAAACTATTCAATCAAAAACACTTCCCCTTGGGACATCAGCCCAAATGGCCCAATGGCTGATAGCCCTCACTTGGGCTTTGAAATTGGAACTGAACAAATGGGTCAATATCTATACTGACTCCTGCTATGCTTTTGCCACCCTCCACGTGCATGGGGCCTTCTATAGAGAAACAGGGCTCCTGACGACAGGCAAAAAAACAAATAAAAAAAAAAAAATTCAGAAGAAATTTTATGGTTGCTACAAACAGTTTGGCTGCCAAAAGGGGTGGCCATTATACACTGTCCCAGTCACCACAGAGCCTCTTCAGAGGCCGGAGGCAATTGCATCATAGACTTAGCAACAAAACAGGTAGCCCTCTTCCTGCTCCTCACTTGGTCCCAATTCAGAGTCAGACCCTCACCCATTACCACCACCAGGAAATCCACTAGGAGTTTATCTTAAAATGCTGTTTTTATGCCAGTAAGTCCGGAATCATCAGAGAGACTTTAGCCAGGGATCATGAGTTCCTCAGCAAGAGAGCAAAAGACTGCCAAAATTTCCAAGGATGGTATGCCAGGATGTACAACTGGAATCTCTGACTACTTTACTGACAAGTCTGGCTGGGTCCTTCATGATCTGTACAGCCTTCCTTATGATTGGGCCCTACCTAGTCAAAAAGGTGATAGAGAGAATTCAAGCTAGAGTGGACCAGGTACAACCTCTGGTGTTGGCAGAAAACCCTGGGTATCAACCTCTGTAGAAAAATTTAAGGACACTTCACCAGCTTAATAAGAGAAGAGTATCCTTGAGGAGGGAATGATATGGGAAAGAAAACTAAACCAATGCCATTTTGCATTCTAGTGCCATTTTAAAGCTTAAGGTTCTGTTTCCTTAAGTTTGTTTCCTGTAAATATTGTCATAGCTACCTAACCCAATGCTACCCCAGGCTCTGTCAAAAGACTGCTTTCCCCTAGGTAAAACGTCAAACACCTTTGCTCCTTTGTCACAAGCTAAGTCCATGCTTTGTAGTCTTTCTATAGCTGCACCAAATCATATCAGCACCACCCCCCCATGGACCCAGAACTAGACTGTTCTCCCCTCCTGCCCTTTGGGGTCGGTGCTCAGTCATGTATTGGGTGACCATCGCTGGCCCCCAACAAACTTGCTTATCTCTGCATCCGACCTCTGTGGGTAATTCAATTAAGTAAGCATCTTTGCCACAAGAAATTGACTCTCCCATACTCACATAAGTGAAGTGTCTAGCACCAGAGTTTGTTCTGCAAAAGGTCAGAAAAACACCCAGAATTCACCCCACAGAGCATACCAAGGTAGAAGCCAGAAGAAGGTGTTGTGGGAGCACCAAGTCTTTCTTCCTTTCTTCCTTCCTTCCTTTCTTTCGACAGGCTCTCATTATGGCCTTCAACTCATTATTCACCTGAGGTTGGCCTTGAACTTGCAGCAATCCTCTTGCCTTGGCTTCCTGAGTGGCAGGATTACCACACGTGGTTTACAAGCACATTTCTGAGTCTTTCCTCCTTTCCTCTCCCCCAGCTCTGAGTTTTCCCAAGGCTATACCATAATATTCATATCTGTTGCATCCCAGTCCCTGGCCTATTTCCTAGAGCTCAGGTTATTATTGAACTGAGCAAAAGTGTCAAAATTTTAGAATATCTGCCTCAACATTCTATTTTCTTGGAGTATTGAAGGAATGAGGCTATGCACCACTCAGCATGAGGGTAAAGAGTAAAAAAGGAGCTAAGCATTCTTCATTTGGACTCCACGAGTCCAAAATGCCATTCAAACGCAGTAAAAGGCTTGGTTTGTTGACCATCTGCATTCACAGACTGATTCCACTGTCTGCTGGTGAAAGCTTAGCATACAAGGGCCCTGGTGGGTGGGTTGAGACACATGGGTGAGGGGCCCACTGCCCACCATGCCTGTTAAGATGATAGACTCAGTGTTGTCACTTGCTTCCTTGCTTACTCACACTGTGAGCATATGCTCCAAACACGCAAGGTGTGTGCTCCCAGGTATTTAGGATTGTGAATTACAGGTCTCAGTTCCCACGGTTTTCCTCAATGCCAAAAGTATCACTCTGATCTTGCTGTACACCCAGGGTAATTCTCACAAGTCCTAGGGTCCTGGGATTCAAAGGGAAAGCAGAAAGCTATGGGAACATCCGAGATGCCCATCAACAGGTGAACAGACAAAGAAAATGTGATGCACATACACCAAATGGAACATTACTGAGCCACAAAAAGAATGAAGAAACCATGCCATTTGCAAGAAAACGGGTAGACCACTGTGCTAAGTGAACTAAGCCATCCAGAAAGTCACACATCATATGTTTTCTCTCATGTAAGGAACCTAGACAATGCCTTTAACAATAGAGGAATGACATGAAAGTAGGAGTGAGACTCTTAGAAGAGGAAAGGGATCAAGAAAGGGTAAGGGTTTTGAGGGGGTAAGGATCAAACTAAATGTCACACGTATGAAGATGACAAATGAAACCCACTGTTCTGTATATCATGTACTAATTAAAAAAAATAAAACAGAATTGTGGACATTTGAAGATGATGATATGATGATGCAAGGGCAAGCAGAAGCACCAGAACACCCAGGATTTGGAGGCAGATTTATTTACGTCAACGGGCACTGATCTGGATCATTCCCAGAATATCAGCCTGATCTCTGGTGGTCTGGGGCTTATATAAGATAAGCAAGCAGGAAGTATAGAGGCAGAGTGGGTCGTCAATGGGGATTGGCTTATACAATGTGCATCATAGTGACCAGCTATGCATCGCAGTGACCAGCTGTTTCTAGGAGACAGAAGCAACTGGAACTGGAACAGGAACTACCACCTGGGCAGCAAACAAACTGAAGTATACTGGCTGGGGTGGGGCATTTTCTGCTACAATGATAGCAGGTATTTATCAAGCATCTATGTGCCAGGCACTGTACCAACCTTTAAAAATGCTATTTCTACCCCACTTATAGTGTTGTGAGGAGCTATGATTTGCCTCCTCTGACAGATGTAGACACTGAAGCTCAGCGAAGCTAGGGGATGTCACCAGGCTACTACATAAGCAAGGAAGCTAAGATTCGAACAAGGACTGACTCCAACATTTTTGGACTATGCAAAACTACTTCCCAGTAATTATGGTGATAGGGTGGTGGTGATAATGGTGGATGGTAAAGATGATATATAAATTATTAGCCATTATGAAGAACAACAGTACCTGAGATGTCTTAACCAAAGTGCAAGGACTGAAGAGTTTACAGCAAATCACAGCAGGGTCAGTGCTGGAAAATTTCAGCAGGGCGTGGCTGGCCACACTCACTTCCACAGCTTGCTTCCTGGTTAGGACAGGCAGAAGACAAAGCCAATTAGAGTATTGCAGGTTACCTGGAAACCACACACCTGAGGCAAGGATGCACACTTTCTCCAGATTGAATTATCCACAGACTCCTTGTCCTGCTTCTGGGATTAGAGACACACGGTAAAGATGACACACTGTCATTAGGAAATCTGAAGCTGTTACCTGCCTCTACATGTTTTGATGGGATCCCAGGAAACTTCCCAATCCTAGTCCAATACCATGAATCCATGACCCAAAAGAATATTAGTGCTGGCTTTCAAACCTGCTTCATTGCTGAAAAACCGATTTCTGCCTGTGGCAATCCTACACCCATTATTTAAAAAAAAAAAAAGAAGCATCCACTGGCCTTGTTTTGCACACCCCGTGATAGGTGTTCAGCACCTCACAATGTAGCCAACTGTGAAACAATTCCTGGAGACTTTATGGTTCTCCTGAAACTTTATGGTTCTCCCACCCCCCTAAAATCTGTCAAAGATAACATATACAAGGTTGAGCAAATACCTGATTTTTTAAGTTTAAATTGACAGCTAGACAACAGCACCACCTTATTGTCTCTTTCCTTCCCCAAGAATGCAGCCAAGAGAACCTAGAGGTGCCACGCTCCTTTGTGGCTGCCGGGCAATCATTCACCAGCCTGCCCTGGTCTCCAAGCTCCCTCCACAGTTCTGCCCAGGGGAACTCAGGCGTGTCATTAGTGCTAACTGTTGTGGCTGCCAAGGAAACCTTCCCACAGTTTGCAAACATGCTACCTACATACCCGAGGCAAGGGAGCACTGGAACCCCCGACGGAGACGACAGGAACCCAGGGGCTCACCTGGAGCAGGTCTGCTACAGCCCTGGACTTGATCTTGGCTTCTGTTATTTTCCAAAGAGAGGAGTCCCTCTCCCTATTCCTCCCTTTCTCTCACAGGGGCTACACCCATTCTCAGAACATCTCACCCATTCTCAGAACAGAGCCTCCCTGGCAGCTGGCCTCCTACTCCCAGCAAGTTTAAGCAGATACTTTTCTTTGTATTTGTTTATTTCTGCCTGTGTGGTGCTGGGTATCAATCCCGGGGCCTTGTACATGTTAAGCACGAGCTCTACCACTGAGTGATCACTTTGAAGGACAGTGTTCACATTTGTGTCAGAAGCTGTTGTAAGTTTTACCACAAAAGGATCTTCTTTGTAATGAGGATCTAGCTGATGCCCTTGGGAATATTTCAGAGGAGCGTTGTGGATACTAACATGAGCTATCTTAGCAGCAGCAGAACTGTTAAAAACAACGTGCTTCTTTCTCATCTAAAGGAAAACTTTCTTAGAAGTGCTGTTTCTTTTCGTGAAGGGATCATGGCTTCTTGGTAGTTTCTTCATCTTCAGGCCTGGGCCAAACCCCAGTCTGGAGTTGCCAGGCCGCATGAGAGGTGGCACTGCAGGTGGTGAGCCTTACTGGCCAGGACCCACCCTGCCTGTAAGGGGTCCACAAGGAAATTCAGAACAGCCTGCCAAGTTGTCCCCTTCCCTGCTCCAGTCTGAGTTGAGCTATGAATCTTTTGACTAAATTTCAGCTCCTTGTTAAAACCTAAGGGTGTTCTGCACAGTTTGTTTCCAACCTGAGGTAAACAACTTTATGAGACCACTTATCCATCCACGTGGTATCCCAAAATATTCCCAGATGAAGGAGAATCTGGTGCTGAGAGACAGCCATCTGGCCCGAGGACCAGCCTTCTTTAAGCAGCCTGGCTCTCAGAGGCCAGTCCTGGGCTCGCGAGGCATGGGGCAGGTGTCAGGGACCCTGACGAAGAGAGAACACAATGTCTGAAGGAGGCACGTGGGCAGGGAGTCGGAACAACACCCACCTCTCCGGGGCCTCTCTCCAGATTCCTGTTACTAAAGGGCTTCAGGAGACCAGCCTGGAATATCCTCCCGTCTCCGAGGCCCTTTCCCTGTCCTCGGCCAGTCTCCTGTGGACTTTTAGCTACAGTCACTCAAACCGAAAACACTGCGGGCCTCTTGCTCAGCTCCAGCCCAGGAGCGGCTCTCGGACGACCTAGGGATGCCAACGGGTTTGTTGAAAAGTCATCTCATTACTAAAAGCTCGCTTTTTACCTACAGAATTCAGATCATTAAGCCCTCTAGATCGCTATTTTCAAAAAGTAAAACCTCAAGGCCATCCTCCGTGGGAAACCAGCCTTGGGGGACCAGTGACCCCTGCTCCTCGCCTCCTCGGTCCGCTCCGCCGCCCTCCGCCCCCGCCCCGGCTCCCGCCCGGGCTGAATTCCTGGCATAGTTTTCCCAAGCAGCCGGGCTCACCATGGGGTCACCCGGAGCTGGGGGCGGCGACCTGCGGTCTCTGGAAGGCTCCCGGTCTCGCCCGGCCTGGGGTCCGCGGCGGCCCGCGCTCCCGCCGGGGACAGCCTTCCCGCCGGCCCTGGGAGGCGGGGCCTCGTCCGGGCCCCTGGGACCGGCTATTTTTAGTTCGGTAACGGACCGGGGCTGCAGGGAATGCCACGTTTAATCCGAAAAGAAAATCCACGATCCAAGGGAACTGTGCCCGGGCCTCTCGGGGCGAGGCTCAGGGAGGCGGGACCTGCTCCCAAACGCACCCGCGGGGTGCAGCCGCCGGCCCGCTGCAAACTGTGACAGCTGCGGCTCGTCGCCCCCGCAGGCAGCCCTGCCGCGCGCCCGAAGCTGCAGAGAACTTCCCCGGGCTTGGCTAGCAACCAAGTTAGGAAAGTCTGCGTGCGCCTGCCTCATCCGCCACTTCCTGACTGCTGGTTTTTTGCCTTGCCTCAGGGAGCTCAGCGGGGGGTGCGGGGGACCACTCGTTTTCTCTCTTAATAGTACCCCATCTCTTTTCATCCTTGCTTTGCTGAGACTTATAATAAGGGGAACTTTTGTTCTGTTCTGTTTTGTTTTGTATTTTGTTTTGCTCTTCCTCCAGCCACAACCTCGGTCCCCCAAACCCTGCGTCTCGGGGCAGCCAAAGCAGAAGTGTTTGGGCGTTAAAGTGTTGGCGGCGGGGCAGAGCAACTGGAACTCCCGAGCCTCGCTGGTGGGAACGCAACGTGGTATAGCCGCTGTGGAAGGCAGGATGGTGGCTTCTCAGAAAATTAAAAAGAGATTGGGTAGCTTATGAACAGAAATTCGTTTCTTTCAGTTCTGGAGGCAGAGAGGTCCGAGATAAAGGCCCCAGGAAATTCGGGGTCTCGGGAGAGTCTGTTTCCTGCTAGATTGACTGGAGGCACACTGTGTCCTCACAGAGTGGAGGGGTCCAGGTAGCTCTCTAGGGTCTCTTTTACTAAGGTGCTAAACCCAGTGAAGAGGGTTCCGCCCTCGTGGCCTAACCAGCAGTAGAAGTCCCCAACCCTAATTCCATCACCGTGCAGGCCAGGATTCATCCCCATTTGGGAGGAACATAAACCCTCAGAGCAAAACAAAATATTATACTGCTGTGGTTCCGATCAGTATCCCCCAAAGGTCTCTGTGGTAAAGGCCTGGTCCACAGCGTGATACTGTTGAGAGGCAGCAGAACCAAGACAGGGGTTCTGGCTGGCCTGCTGGCAAGCGGGCTGCACTGCAGGATGTGTAGGCCAGAGCAGACCTCTAGGAAGGTATCTCCCACCACTCTCATTACTACTTGAACTCTGCCTCCTGTCAAATCAGTGTGGTAAGATTCTCACAGAAGTGAACCCTACCGTGAGCTAAGCATGTGACTGATCCCGGTGGCACACTCCTGAGAATCTAATGTCTGACGATCTGAGCTGGAGCCGAGGTGATGTGCTAGTACAGGGAAATGTAATGGGGAAGTGTAATTATTACATATCAGAAATATATATTAATGAAAAGGAAAACTTTTTTAAAAATCCCCCACCCATAGAAATTTTTTTTTTCCCACAAAACAGATCCTCGGTGCTAAAAAGGTTGGAGCTCCCCACTTTAAGAGCAGGGTCTGGTAGGGGGTTTAGGTCGTTGGGGAATATGATCTTAGAAATAGTAACACTCCAAATACTTTCTCTTCCTCTCTTCTGTTTCCCTGCCAGAAGGAAAGCAGTTTTGCTCTGACATACACTCCTGCCATGTTGTCCTGCCACAAGCCCAAAGCAAAGGGGCAAACCTCTAAAACCTTTTCTCTTTATAAGTTGGTTGTCACAATTTTGTTATACTCACAGAAAGAAAACATGCTGAGCATGGTGGCACACACCTGTAGTGCCAGCACTTAGGAGGCTGAGGCAAGAGGACTGTTGGGAGTTCAAGGCCAGCCTGGGCTACATAAGTGAGTACTACCTCCCAGCCTGAATTGCATACTGAGGCCCTGTCTCAAAAAAAATAAATAAATAAAAGAAAGCAAACACATGCTCAATGAAATAAGCCAGTCACAAAAGAAAATACATCACTTGTTTCTATTTACATGAGATAACTAGAAATAGTTGAAATCATAGGGGCAGGAAGTAGACTAGTGGTTATCAGAGGCTCCAGAGAAACAGGAATTTGCTGTTTAATAGAAATAGTTCCAATTTGAAAAAGATCAAGGAATTCGAAAGATGGAGTAGTGAGCGCTGCACACCTGTATGAATGTGCTGAATGCCACGCCACTGTCCACTCAAGTGCTTAAAATGCAAATTTTGTTACATATATTTTCACACAATTGTTTGGTGCTACATCCCCATCCCACCACAATGTTTTAAATAAAGAAAAAAAAATTGGTAGAATGGGACCAGAAATAAATAAGGATCTCTGTAAATCATCTGCTGTGATGGGGGTGCTTGTTCCTCCCCACTTCTCCCAGTCAGGGCCATTTCACTGGGTGGGAGAGAAATATCCAGGCTTTGGAGACAAAGGCACACCTTCCCCTATCCCAACATGTATGACCCCGAAAAAGTCACTTACCTCTCTCAGCTTCGACTTTGTTATCTGTAAAATGGGAAAAATAAGCTGGATGTGGTGACACACACTTGTAATCCCAGCACTCTAGGAGGCTGAGGATCACAACTTCAAGCCCAGACTGGGTAATTTAGCACCTTAATGAAATACTATCTCAAAATGGAAAAAAAGAGGGATTCAGGGGTAATAGCTCAGTGCAAAGGTCCTGAAAAAAAGGGGGAAAAAAAATGAACTACCTAGCCCAGTTGTTGTGAGAATCAAATTAGCCGAAGTATCTCCCAGGTTCAGCTGAAGTCTGGGCAATCAGTGGTGTATCCTTTAGACTTCACAGTATCTACAAAATCACTTGAGTATTTGCTTCCGTTCTCTTCCCATTGAATCCCTAAAGGTTGGAGAAAGTAGCTATCTTGGTCACTTTCTCATCACTGGGACAAAATACCCAACAGCCACAACTGTAAAAAGATGTTTATTTTGGTTCTTGGTTTTTAGAGGATACAGTCCATGGTTGGCTGGTTCCAAGGCAGGAAGGGCAGGTGGAAGAGTCCAGCAGGGGAGGGCCGCTCACAACATGGCAACCAAGAAGTCGATGGAGAAGGTCGGGGTGGGAGGGAGATGCACCCTTCTAGGTCATGCCCACAGTGAACCACCTCTTCCAGTCAGGTCCTGCCTCCTAAAAGCACATTCAGCTATGGATTCATCAGTGATTAATCCACTGATAAGTACAGCACCCCAGGTTCCAATCACCTACCAAAAGCCACACCTCTGAACATGAGACTTTTGGTGGACATTGTACATCTAAACCACAACAGTAGCTCTGAGGGTACCTTTGCACATGTTTATGTGTATTACTTCCACAAGCCTCAAATTTCTCATGCTATAAATGGGGTGTCCTCTTTTGTAATGTTGTTGTAACCAAGAGGACTTGATATACACCCCAGTCTACTTTATCTAGAATCTTCCATCTGGAATTGACCAAGGCCTACCACAAATGGAAGTGTCTTCCCCTTGCTGGACCTTGGTTCAGCATCCAATACAGGGAAGTTCTGAGTGCTTATTATGTGCCAAAGTGTATTTTAGTTCTAAAGGCACCAAGAATGTATTTGTGACTAGATCCCTTAGCACTGGGTAGCTAATACCATCGCACACACAAGATTTAGTAGCATCACTGGGGATCATAGATAGTTCATGACATAGGAATGGGCCGAAGAAGACTGACCCTGACTGCCTAGACCAGGAGACACTCCTGCCACCTTGAACAGTTGGGCAACTGTTAAATGAGAGCACAGCCTGCTGGGCATGGTGGCACATGCCTATAATCCCAGCACTTGGGAGGCTGAGACAGGAGGAGCACTTCAAGTTCAAGGCAAGACTAGACTATAACGTGAGTTCAAGGCCAGCCTGAACTGCATAGTGAAACCCTGTCTCAAAAAGACAGTCAATCAATCAGTCGACAGGAGAGTGGGTTTTCAATATCTGTAGTTTTCCCTTTTTACTTTAGCCCCTAATCTCCTCCTCAGCCCAGTGCCAGACATCTACCCTCTGACCCATCTCAGATCCCATTCCCTCCCTACTTTAAGAAGTGTCAGGAAACAGTGGGACACCCCTGGGGACTCCACAAAAGCAATGTCACCTGCTGTCAACTGCTGGTATCTCACGTCGGAAGCCAGCTCCAATCCCACTTTCTTGAAGGGAAATCCAGGTTGCCTGAGATGATTTTAGGTTCAAGATATGTGCTTAAGTTTTCACGGTGCTGATGTATAAGAAGGCAGGCATAGAGTCAGAGGGTGACTGGAGCAGAGGGGAAATCTCTTCCTTGGGCCGAGCCCACACCAGAGCCCATTCACTGAAAAGGCCACTTTGAAGGAAGTCTTTGCACTTGCAGAAGAGGCCTTCTTCCTTCTACAAAGCCAGAATAAACCTAAACAAGCTCCACTCGCCAAATGAAGAAACGAACCTAAAAAAAAAAAAACAAAAAAACAAAACAAAGGGCTGGGGATTTAGCTCAGCGGCAAAGTGCCTGCCTGGCAAGCGCAAGGTCGTGAGTTCGGTTCCTGGTACCGGAGAAAAACAACAAAAAAAAAAAAAAAAAAAAAAAAACAAAGAAACGAACCTAAGGCATGGCTGCCTGCTGTGGTCCAGACACTCACTGGCTGGCAGAGAGAGAGGCAGCGTCTGAAATGAGCTACCCCAGCAACCTCCTGCCTGGGACTTGAGCCTTTTTGGTAATTCTCCTTTGGCAGATATATTGGAAATAAAGCTATGAAAATATTAGAAAACAACTTTATAATATAACAATATTTCTGTTTATGAATTCGTTAAATGGAAAGACCTAGCATCCGATCTAAAAGTGGTGAGAGCCGAAGCAATGTTTCAAGGTATGTGTGATGTGATGTGAAAATACCAGTGATAAACATCTCAGGCCATTGAAAAATGACACCGTCATACATACTACTAATACAACTGTGGTTTGTGGCCTCCATTCATAACCGAAGGCAATACTTTTTAATTAATAGTAATAATAAAGATATAAGTGCACAGGCTACCAAAGCCTATTCACAGACCCCTGGTAAGGATTCCTATTCCAGTATCATCCAGGGTAAACCTTGCCACTTGGTTTACACGTTAAATGACCAGGGAAGTAGGAGAATATGCAAGCACGGAATAAAACCCGAAAGACATAAACAAAAAATGAGAGACTGGATTGCATAAATTTTATGACCATATATAATGAAAACCTAGCAAGTGAAATTAAGAAATAAAGGACAGACAAAAGAATTGCAACATAAAAATAACATATTAGTGTTCTTAATATGCAGTGTGGTTACAAATCAATAAAAAACAAAAACACAACAGATGACTGGACAAGATATTTCATAGAATAAGAACATATGTACTGCCAATTAAAGATGTGAAACACTCAACTTCACCAAATTTAACATGAAAATTACATTGACTAATTCTCCCCCACATCATTACCATGTTCTGAATTACTCTTTTCTACTATACAAACTACACTTATTATATGAGTGTATTAATTTATTTCCCACATTTTATTAATCAAAAACTTACTTTATTGCCTGGTAAAGGTCCTTATAAACATCAAGGAATCATTATTGTCACAGTAAGTTCATATGATCACAGTCCCACATTGAAAATATGGCACATGGGTTGACTTATTTGGTTTCATCACAAGACACTTCATGTAGTTTGAAACATTGTAAATATTTCTAATCAGGCCCTTCAAAGCCCTAGTTTTCTGGGGTGTTACCTGAAGAGCTATTTTGAGGGCCTCCTTTAGATGTGGAAATGATGTGATCAGCATCTGTGACCCCATTCTCTGGAGCAGGTTAACCCTAGTAATCCTCACCTGTGGATAGTTGAAAAGCAGCTGACCTTCCAGGGACACAACCAGAGCTCAACTGTGGGGTATGGAGGAGGCCCGAGAACCTGACAGAGGTATCAGAAATTCCAGAACAATAAATAAGCCTGTGTCGGAAAGATAATTTGTATTTTTTAATAAGACTATGAACACAGTGATTCTCAAAGCAAAAAATATTGGAATAAAAAGAATTGGCATCTAAAAAATTTTCCCAGACAGAAAATTACCAAAACGAAAGTTCTAGAAAATCTTGGCTGAAAAGAATTACTATTCACATCCTCCTAAAGAGGGGGCAAACTTGTTTTTACTTTTTAATTAAAAAGTTATATATATATATATATATATATATATATATATATATAGTACAACATGCTTCAAAATAAAAGAGACAAATTTTTATGTGAGTCTAAAAGGGGCAGAAGGTCTGGCATGGTGGCACATGCCTGTAATCCCAGCACTCATGAGGCTGAGGCAGGAGGATTGCTATGAGTTCAAGGCCAGCCTGCACTACACAGCGAGTCCCTGTCCCAAAAACTAAAAATAAAAACAAATAAAAGGGGCAGAAGTTTTAAATAGTTTGGATTTGTAATTTGCTTTTATAAACCACTCTGGCAAATATATGGGTCAGAAAGGGGTAGAGTAAGGAATGGCAGAGTGAGGGGGGAAAGAGAACAGCACAGGGACAAGTGGCTAGCAATTAGGGTTAAGTGTTGTGAATTTTGTCTGCTTGATCTAACTCTATCATCTGCCCCTGTATTAGTGCTTGGCACACAGAAAGGGACTGATTAATATTTATCAGCTGTTGCATTCATGAACGTTGCTGTGGTTTAGATAAGGTTTCATGTTCCCCTCGAAGTTCCATATGCTAGAAGTTTGGTCACCAGTGTGACAATGTGGAAAGGTAGTGGAATATTTAAGCGTGGCTTAGTGGAAGGTGATTAGGTTTTTGGGGATGCCGCCCAGAAAGGACTCACAGGGCCCCTCTTAGTTCCCACAAGAATGAACCGTTATGAAAGAAGGAAGCCTGGCCCCGGGCCACTCTGGCCTTCTGTCTCACCGTGTGCACATGCTACTGTGGTGCCATCCTCCAGGAAGCCCTTGCCAGCTGGAGTCACCCAAACATGGACTTCCAGCCTCCAAAACTGTGAGTAAAATTAACCTCTTTTCTTTATAAATTACCCACTTTCAGGTATTTCTTTATAACAACAGAAAATAGAATAATGTTAATGTCAAACGCAAGTCTCTCTCTTCCCCAGTCAATGCTCAAACAAGTCCTAGATACAATCTTATAGTACTGACTAGAACATGCAACAGAAGTCCCCACACCCAGTCTGTCCTGCAGGTGCATTCTGGCCAGGGAGATGCCAGGCAAAGTGGTACTTGCACTTATTCGATTCTTGCAAGCCGTCTTTATAAAATAAAAAGGGTATATTTAACTCCTCCCTTCATCCTACTGCCTGAAATACAGATATGATGGGGCAGAGGTCCAAAACATACATGGGCCCTGGACTGTGGACACCAAGGATGACAAACAGAAACAAGCCTGGGTCCTGTGTGACCACTGTTACCATACCTGCCCTGAATTGCTGGCCTTTGGACTTCTTTTTTATAAGAGAGATAAATTTCTGTGCTTCGTAGCCACTGCTACGTGGGCTGGTTCTCTTACAGACGGAAAGCTAATCCTGGGTAAACCCCACACCTCGGAGACAGTGGAGATCAGTGACAGCATGGCAGTCCAGGAACCATCCAGTTTCACTAATAGCAGCAACTCAGGGTTGGCTCTGTTGTTACCTGGACCCGGTCACTGAACCTTCTCTTCTGGGCCTTGAACCAGGTACCTGTAAGTTGTAGGACAGTACTTGCGGTAGAGATTTTCCACCAGGGTGTTACTCTCTTTAATAACAGTTCTCTTCCCCTGGTTCATGTGGTTCCACAGATGCAGAGCGTAAGAGTTATTGAAGCTTGGTTCCGGGTCCCAGACTTCATAGTAGCGCCTCCACTGTGCAAAGGAAATGGGATAAAATCTGTGGGGGTGTAGGAAGGACATGTTCTGACAGCTGAGGTCACTGAGCTCTTGGAAGTCTCTGAGTTTGCACCACAGCCTCAACATCCTCGTCATCAAAAGGGGACCTTGGTTACCCCAAATGTCTGAGTTGTAGTGCTCAACAAAATTTTCCATGCATTCCCACAAGAAGGGGTGATGGGGTGAGAACCCAAATACCCCATTACTAGAGACCTGAGAAGACTGTGCAGCTAAAAAGTTTTCCTCAGGGATGGGTCTGATGGAGATGACATCGGTGTCCATGTAGACGCCGCCATATTTCCAGATGATGGCCAGGCGGGAGGCATCAGAGCTGATGTGGAGCCAGTGTCTCTCTGCTTTGCTGTTGATCTGAGGGAGCAGGTACAGATCAGCCCCAGGGGGTGAGGACAAGGAGGAGTGGCCCAGGAAGCCAGGCCCAGAGCAGCTGGAGAGGGCTGAAGCAACACAGCTTCCCCAAAACCTATTTGGCCACAAGCCTAATTTCACAAATTTTCCCGACTAACCTCTACTCCACCCCCTCCCATTTTCCTTTAAGTAAAAAATTTCACTGATTAATATCAATGAGAAGATTTTAGTAGCTTTTAAAGATTTCATTAATTTTTTAAAAAATTAAACTAGTCAGGGAAAAAAGTAAATTAAACCAGTAGAAAGACAAAGAAGAAGTCCAGTAGGAATTGCACAATAAGCCACTCTTCAATGTGGATTACATTAACTGCAGACATGAAACTGGAAGGGAAGAGCTTTAAAAAAAATGTCCTCAGGAAATGCTAAAAATTGAAATAAGAAATGAGCTAGGAAATTAGGGGGAAAATCATATGCATGCAAGTTGAGAAACTGGTAAAAGAAAATCTTAAATCTATGTATGCATGCTCTTATTTGTTCATTAATTACTTTAATGATATTCACTGAGGGCCTACTTATTATGTGCCAAGCTCTCTTAAAGCTGCTAAGAATATGACAGTAAACAAACAGGCAAAAGTCCCTGTAGGGAAGAAATAAACAATAAACAAATTTATACTATGTTGATAAAAGCTATGATTTATTTAAAAGCTGCTGAGGAGGACTGGAAAGGGGCAAGATGGAGCACAATATTACATTAGGTTTCAGCAGAAACTTGAACGAAGTGGGTGAGTGAACCATGGCCAAATCTGATAGGGAGAAGAAACAGCAAGTGCAAGGGCCCTGAGGCAGAATCATACTGCTATGCAGTAGACACAGAATAGAGGAAGGAGAAAGGCAGATGATGACAGTAGAGAAGGGTGGGGATGAAGGAGGACAGGTCATATAGGTTGGGGTCAAGGCTTTCAAACTGTTTGAAAGGTTTAGAAGAAAGGAGTGATGATGTGAATTGGTTTTCATTAGTTTGTGGCTGTTGTGTAGCAAATAAGGTAGGGCAGGAGTGGCAGATGGCAAGGACAAAGGCAAAGAAGCAAGTTAGGAAGCTGTGAAATAATCCAGCAGGAGACGGTGATGGCTTGGACCAGGAGAGAAGTGGTCAGATTCTGGGTACATGTTGAAAATAAAATTGGTCAGGCTTTGCTGATGGATTTAATGTGGGATGGGAGAAAAGGGGGTCATAGATGACTGCAAATGCTAAAATGTGAACAAAACAGTAATCCCAGAACTCAGGAGGCTGAGGCAGGAGGATTGCCATGAGTTCACTGCCAACCTAGGCTACACTACATAGTGAGTTCAAGGCCAGCCTGAACTGAAAAGCAAGACCCTGCCTCAAAAAAAAAAAAAAAGTGAGCAAAACAAAATGGTTGTTAAAGGAATAAAAATAAATCAGTATAAATAGCAGTATTCTCATAGGGAATGCTAAAATCTCAAGTGCAAAAAATAAAATAGGTATTTTTAAATTTAAATGTTGATTGAAAGATTAAATAATCATCCTTGGCTTTTGACAAAAAATAAGCATTCTTTTAAAATTCTGCTATACAATTCAATGAGAGTAGGTCAACTAAAACTCTCCAGAAATCTTTACAAGTGGTTAAAAGCCATACTGTTTCTAATTGTTGAAGACCTCACAAACAGCAAATGTGGTTCCAAGCTCTTTGCAATTTCCGTCAATCCTCAAAGGTAGGTTATATGACTGTCCTTGTTTTTCAAGTGAAAAAGTAGAAGTGTGGACATTCAGGGCAAGGCAAGGAGTAATTCTTTCCTCGAGCCTCTGCAAGGAATGTGGGGCAAGTGGCCCTGTCAATACCTTGGCATTGGCCTAGGGAAACTAATGTGGGGCTTCTGGCCTCCAGAACAGAGGGATGAACAAGATGTGTGTTAGGATATTAAAAGCCACAAAGGCCCAGAGGAGAATTAGATTAAACATCAACCTGAGACACAAGAGCTCCAAAGGGGCTGAAGATGAAAAAGGAGCCGCTCAGAGGACAGCCGCCCATCCCCGCCCTACGCTCACAGTGCTGATCCCTAGCCATCTTCAAAGGCCACAGTTGCCCAGATCAGTGAGGCAAACTCAGTGGTCACTAGCAAGTGATGCTACTTTGGGTCCTCCCTAACAGGGGGCCTAAATGGTATTCAGTGGTAGCCTAAACGGGGCAGAACTTGCCATAGCCCAGCACCCCACTGTAGATACCAGGCTAGTATAGTGTCATGCAGGCCGAGATGGATGGACACTCAGGGGCTCTGTGTCTCAGGGTCCACCTCCCTCCTAAAACCCAACCTATAAAATTTAGGTGCAGCTCAGAGCAACCCAAACTGTGCTCCAGGGAACATTAATTCCCATAAGTTTATTTCTGTGTCACACTGGAAGAGGGTTCCATGCTCAAATAAATTTAAGAAGTAATGAGTTGGATCAAATTAAGGTTTATTTCATTTAGAATCATAAAGAGGCCTGATTTGTCTGTGAGAAGAGGATGTTGTATGCGGCATCTCCCCAAATAATGTGAGTAGGGATTTCTTTTTCCAAGGACCAAAGCACAACTTAGATAGCGTTAGCCTGACACAACTATGGGAAATACGGGTATAGTCCTGGAGCAGGTTAGCTGTGGGGATCTAGCTGACATGTCCCCTCCACTCCCAGCACCTGCCTCCCTGCCCTGCCACTGCTCAGGTTAGGGTTAGCCACTTGCCAAGAACCCTGCTGTCGGCAACTGCCAAGACCTAGCAAATGGAAATTCAATCCACTGAAACTACCCCACCTTCCCCTAACAAGTCCCAGTTTGACATTTCCAGGCTCATGAGAAGAACAGATGGGTACTGTGGGATCTAGAAGTGACTGGGACCAAGAGTGAAGCCAACCCCAGAGGCTGCCCCAAGCCCCACCCCCACCTGCCTGGCCCACTCGAACCCCTACCTTCAGGCCTATGGTTTAGCCCAGAAAATGTCTCTAACTGACAGTAACTGGATGCAAACATGCCCACCCCTCCATGACAGCCCACCCCAGCCCAGGTTAACAAAGTAGGGTGGGTGTTCTCTCTCTTTTTGCATATGAATTCTACAACAGGCAAAATAATGGCCACCCAATGATGTTGGGTCCCAGTCCCCGGATGAGGTAATGTTGCCTCACATGGGGAAGGGACCTTTGCAAGTGTGATTAAGTTAAGAACCTTGAAGTGAGGAGATTATGCTGGATCATACTGATAAGTCCTAAAAGATCATAAATGTGCTTTAAAGAGAGAGGTACAGGGAGGTTTTATACACAGAGGGAAAAAAAGGGAAATAGGAGATAGAGGCAGAGACTGGAAGGATGGGCTGCACGTCAGGGAGTGTCTGTGGTCACCAGAGGCTGGTAAGAGGCAGAGAAGCTTCTGTGGGGCTCCTACCCGCAGAACTATGAGGCTAAGTTTCTGTTTTTCACGTCACCCGCTTCTGGTGTTTGAAGCCACTAATTTGTTATGGCAGCCATTAGAAATTAACACAAGAACCTACATAATAACTTTATGAGTTGCTGCTTAGCCCACAAAGCCTACAATATTAATTAGCTGGATCTTTATAGAAGAAAAGTCTGCTGTCATTTGGTTTGGCCCATGATTAGGATTTAGATAGGACCGTATGCAGCAAGGAAATCACATTCATGTTAATTTTTAAATTTTTTTTAATTTTTTGATTTATGAAATAATTCTGTTTGTGAAATTAAGATGCTTTATTTATTAAATTAATTTTATTTTTGCAAAATAATTTTATTTATGAAATTAAGAAAGTCTTATCACTAAATTCACTTCTAACCCAGTCAGGCTCAAATATCTACTGTGATTGTGTGTTGTCTTTTCAGATCTTTTTTTCCCTCAAAAGATGTTAGTGGTAGGTACAAAATCAAAGTCATTCTCATGACCTTATACTGTGAAGGGGGTTTTAATTCCCCATTGTCTTACAACCGTCATAAAATGTCAGTTAAAAGAACCATAAAACCTGCCTAGTGAATCATTGAGTGATTATATTATAATTTCTTTAAGCATTACTTGATAGTGGGAGAAATATTAAAGTGAGAAACCATTTTCTTATTTTGCTATGCTGCTAGGATGAGGAGTATAGAATTCCTAAGACCTCTAGAAGTTTCTCAATCATACCTTAATATACCCCAATTTCATACAGCACTGTTCCACTGATCCTTCATGAATTTTCTATTTACATCATTTTCATGTTAAATAGCACCTGGTTTCTGACTCGGCACCAAAACAGTTTAACACACAGGAGTTTAAAACTATAATGAAAAGAAACTATCCCATACATCTAGAAAATATGTTTAAAAATTCATTCTGTTAAGAAAAGCCTCCCGCCAGGCGTGGCGGTGCATGCCTGGAATCCTAGCGCTTGGGAGGCTGAGGAAGGAGGATCTTGTGAGCTCAAGACTAGCAAGACCCTGTCTCAAAAAGACAAAAACAAACAAACAACAAGAAAAGCCTCCAAATTAAGCTAGATCCTGAAAGCTAGAAGCAAGACACCAGATCAAACATTAACCTAACTTAAGTCTCACCTGTTCATCTAAATAAGGGTTCAAGAGGTAGAAAAAAAGAGTCAGAGGGAGTGGGGGTGCCAGGCCCATTTCTGCCCTGAGTCCTTAGCCCCCATTTTCCCATCTACACACAGAGGAAGCTACACTCGCTTTCTGTGGGTCCCCTGCTGTTTCCTCCCAACACTGCTCTCTAGATTTCCCTGCACACTTACGTGAGTGTACCATGAAAACAAGGGCGTGTCTTCAAACAGCCTGTTCATATCCAAAGGGGTGAGGAAAACATTGTCTATTGCTGAGAGGAGGGAGAAGGCTGAGGAACTGGAGTTGGAGGGCAGCTGTGTGGAGTTGTGGAGCCCTTGCATGAAGAAGATCACGGGCTGCTCAGGATAAGTCTTGGCGGCAGACTCTACAGCACAGGATACCAGCGGGGGTGGCTCCACCTTCTCCGAAGTCTCCACAAACACAATGCTGTGTCCCTGGCTCAGGAGCGCATCCAGCCCCTGCTGGGACTTGGAGGAAGGCAGGCAGGAGAAGAGGCAGTAGGACCTCAGGGTGAGCCGGTAGAGGAAGCCACAGGCCAGCAGCAGGGCTATAGACAGGGAGAACTGGAGCTCCTTCAGCATGTTGACTGCGCTCTGCCAAGCTCTCCTTTAATCAGCACAGTTCACTCAAGTTCACATTCACAGAGCTTGATAGAAATAGCACACACACAAAAATTATGTTAGAATGTTACTTACGAACTGAGAGGAAAGAGCTCCCAAATGAAATATGATCAAGCCCAGCAGCATTAAAAAGGAAATTTTGTCAAAACCAGTTAGAATTATCCTGGATTTAAGGATGTTCCAATATAGGAAAAATAATTACTTCATTATTACAAAAGCTATTAATGAATGAACTGTCAGGAGAATACACAAGAAAATCCATATTATTATTATTTTGGCTCAATAGATGCAAAGAATGTGATAAAATTTGACATTCGTTCATGATGTTTTTTAAAATATAAGAAAACTTTCTTGCCAAGTGTGGTGGTGCATGCCTGTCATCCCACTCAGAAGGCAGAGGCAGGAGGATCGCTATGAGTTTGAGGCCAGCCTGCCTACAGAGTAGTTCAGGACCAGCCTGAGCTACGTAGCAAGACTCTGACCCAAAAAGAAAGAAACACAAAACAAACAAACAAAAAAAACCAACTTTCTTAAGCTAGTAAATGATGTCTACTAGAACATATAGTAATCAACATACTTAATATGAAGTATCTAAAACAATGGTCAAGATCAAGAATATGACACAGATGTTCATTACCACTGTTACTATTCAACATCATTCTGATCATCCTAACCAGTGCAAGAAATTTCCACTATGAATACAAGTATTAGAAGAGGCAAAAGTATCACCAGGGTCAGAAAATATTATTTCACACCTAGAAACTCCAGGATAATTTACTGAAAAACTAATATAACTAAGAAAATTAACCAAGGAGACAAACAAGTTTACAAAATTGAACAGTTGCCACGATCATACAGTTGGCAACTAGTCGCGATTCCCACCCAGGCTCTGAACCAGCAAGATTTGCCTTTCTTTCCATAAATGTTAGCTCTAAGCGGAGCTGACTCCAGAACAGTGATCTCAATTCTTGGGAGGTCTATTTTTCACAGTTCATGTAACTCTTTCACAAAATACAAAGCCAATAAAGCAGGGCTTACCTTGGAACCAGAAACTTGCAGTCAGCCCGTATTTGAGGTCTTACAAATGTGGACAAGGTTTTCCTGTATACTTTCTGATAAATCACCACCCAATCTTCCAGCTGAACAATACAAGGATAAGCAAGTCACTGGTAAATGATTAAGGCTAAACTCAACAAGTTCCTAGGAAGCTCCTCCCTTTACTAAGTACCCCTAAAACAAATCCCTGGTTATAACAAGACGTCGTAAGATTTTTCCAGGTACCCCACACACTAACACAGCCCATTTCTGGAGTTATCATGGTGCTTTAAGGGGATGATTTCACCTAGAGGAAACGGTATCATACTGTAACTCTGGAGCCAATAAATCCTGCACCTGGACAGTTAAGCTTAAAGTCATGGACAGATATTTGGGGAAGGTTATTCACCGGACAATCCTGTAAATTGATCAGGCTCCTCCTTTGCAAACCTGGGGTTTCATTAAAAGAAACAAAAGCCCATCACCACAAATAAGCAGTAGACAAACCCCACTAGTCCAAAAGCCCAGTGCTCTAGAATGGGCTCAGGTTCCCCAGGATCCATTGGAGTCCCTGCAGGAATTATCCTTGTGCCCTGATGTCCCCCTGCAGGGTAGGAGTCTCCTGGTCTCACAAAGTCAGCTTTGTCACCCTCAGCTGATGTGGCAATCTGCACACCTCCCAAGGTATTTTCACTCTCCCGTGGTCTTTTCCCCATTGCCCCTGGAATGAGCACTCAGTAATCCTCTTTGGAATAAACCTCCACTCAGAGAAACCACCTGTCCTCAGTTCAGAGCCTTCTCTCAGCCATGACCAGGTATCTACAATCCCTCCAGATGCTCTGGGTGGACAGGAAGGTCTCTGCCTAAGCAGGCTGTCAATCCACACCTACTAGGTCCTACATTCAGGGAGTTCAAGCTGCCCCATTTGGTGAGGGCTGTGGTCCTCACTGTGCCTGGGGATCACAGACACAGCTCTTGTCTGTCCATTTGCCTCTTCCTTTTGGAGTTTAGTTTCTTCTCTGGACCTTATCAATTCTGAACTAAATGAGCTTTGGCCTGTTTCCAAAGTTCTTCAGTACTGAACAGATTGGATTTCTTGTTCTTTCCTACAGAGAAGAGGGAAGGTCAGTGCTCCTGCTCCCTGTTTAGGGACAACTACAAAGCTGCATTTGTAGAAATGGCACATTCCTTGTATCCAAGTCTCAGGTGAATCACTCACATTGGTGCTTTCCAACTGTTTGCCCAAGGGCTCAAGCCGCCGAATAAGTGGTCAAGGCAGAAAGCAGGGAAGGAGTTAACAGTCCTTGTCAGGCAGGAATGGTGTGGGCATACCATGAAACCCTAAGCATAATAGGTTGGTCCTGTTGAACCAAGTAGAGGGAATGATGGAAATAGCACGGGGCTTGTAAGTTATACCTCTATCCATCATAGGCTGAGAGCACTGGGACAAACCTCAGATCCTTTGTAAAGTGCAGAATGTAACTGACCTCAGGTTCACTGTGAGGGTGAAAGTGCTCTCCAACCCATAGATGGAACTTTCACTTTCCACCAAGAAGAAAAGGAATGAAAGGGAATAATACAGATGCAGGTGGTATCTGGACTCCCTGATAAAAACAAATTATTTTATTTCTTCAGATGAAGGAAATCTGTTTCCCAGTGAACTTTTGAGAAGGAATTCCTCATCCCTGTGTGAGAGTGGATGAGATGTGTTCAGGAGCCTAGTCACAGCTTCCTGGGCCTCTCTAGGCTCACAGCTTGATGGCCTTCCCCCATCTTTCTAAGAAAGCCTGTTGTTCTCTGCACCACTCCACCTAGAATGTCTAAGAGCCTGACACATCCTCCAGCTTTCCCTCTAGTAAGAAGATCAGAGCTGCCTGTCCTTCCTCTCTATCCCTTCTGCCGTGCTTGTGGCCTGGACCACACCAATCTCCCATTGGTTCAGGTGGGTCTCACAGCAGCAGATCTTAACTCAGACTTCACAGATACTTACAGGCTGCAAAGATGGGCTTAAGGGAACCCTGAACCTTAGGGCTGCATCTTGCCTCAGTACCTTAAACTTGGAAGCCAATTACCCACATCTCCACCTATGCATCAGCTTCCCTAAGGAATGTCACTGCTCGGACATTACGTGACACTAATTCTGTTGAAAATTCCTTCAAATTTCTTTACTACATAATCCCAGGCTTCCAACCAGGCAAAAAACTCCAAAGAACACAATGTAGATATGTGATTAGACATAGACGAAGAGCTATTTGCCTTTGAGCAATGGCTGGATCTGAACACCCAGACAGTAACAGTCACTTTCCTAGGAATTTGTGCTGTATGTGAGACAGTTCTCCATTTTAACACGGCCAGATATGGTCAATAGGGCACACTATGAACCCTGAGTAATTGCTGCTGACTGACAAGATCTTAAGAAATGACAAGATCTTTACTTGGTGTAGCCCCAAGTAAACAAACAGGACCAGAAAAATATCCATGAACCCAAACTTATTTTTGTTTTACAGTTTCGTTCCTTGGATGTGTGAAGCCAGCATAAAGAAGCAGACCAGGGATGAAAACACTTGAACGGAAAAGGGAAATTTCCCCAACTTCTCAGCCCTGTGATAACCTCAAGTACAAATAGTCCAGTGTGTAAGGATAAGGCAGGAGAAGTCAAAGGAATTTTTAACAGTAAATGTTTGTTGAATTGAATTGCCCGTGAAAAGCACACCTTCTGTAGCTTCTTTGAACTCAGACTTATGGCAAGTAGGAAATGTTCAAGTTGGCAGTACTTGTCCTGTTTGATTTGGAGGCTTTGGAAGCACAGTTCCGGCTTTTAACATATTTGTTAAGCAAATGGAATCGATAAACTTATAAAAGCATCAGCCATGAACAGGGTGAAAAGAATATACAAAGTGGTATCTTATCAGCATTGCAATTCCTTTTCCCACTGTTCTGCGGCTGGAGCATGACCAGGAGGGCTAGTGTTATATAAATGAAGGGAAGAGGGCTGGACAGAGGCATTTCACTGTGGAGTGAGAAAGAACCTGTAGCATGGGGCTTGGGCAACCGTAGAGAAAGCACAGCATAATGGATACATACTGAGGCGTAACATTCTCAGCATTGCATGCACAATAAAATAGACATTTACAAAACACCAATTATTGGCAGAGTAAAACCTCCTTGTCTAATGGAAATATTTTTATCTAGTCTACATCTCCAATAAAATGATCCTTGCCTTGTATTTCTGGATTTTGTTCTTCACTTGACCATACTAATTAAACATGCTTCTCTTTACAGAACTTCACTTAATGACCACGAGTATGTGTCCGTGTTTATTCTGGAAATTATTGCATTCACACATGTGTTCACCACACCTTTTTAAAAATGTACTTGAGGATAAAAGAGTTGGTGGAGGATAAAGGCAGACAGATAAGGGAAAGTTATTGTTCTCAGTGAACAAGTTGTGCCTCAGAATCCACTTAGAAAGACTGAAAAACAGAGTCTACACAAAGCCTACAGGGGACAGTGGCACCTTGTAGAGAGGGGACTGTTTGAAGAGATTTTGCTGTTAAGTTCTGTAAACCGGAGTTTAGTTCCTTCATCCTGTAAAGAATCCGGAGCACCTTAGAACCAGCTATGTGGTACCCACATGACACAAGGCGTCATTTAGACTGTTCAGTGAGAGTATCTCAGTATGGCTAAAAGAAACTGCTGCAGACTGAGTGTTTATGTCCCCCTGAAATTCATAGGTTGAAGCCACACCCCCCAATAACCCTCAGTGGATGGTATTTGGAAGTGGGGACTTTGAGAGGTGATTAGGTTTAGATTAAGTCCTTCTCAAGAAGAACAGGATCTCTCTGTCTCTCTCTCTCTCTGTGTGTGTTTCTGTGTCTATCTCTACCTGTCTCTGCCTCTGTCTCTGGCTGTCTGTCTCCCTGTCT